GCAAGTTTTTCGTGTCACAATTACTGTTGAAATGTTGACTGACTGTTTTATGGACGGAATTAAAAGCATGGGACCGACGACGCAACTACATATAAAGGTTTGGAACTTCGACCGCAAAAATAAAAGGTTTGGGTGTAATCTGCAACAAAATGAAAGGTTTGGGACCACGGCCGTAATTTTCCCCAAATTTAATGGGGGCCAAACAAGTGCTAGATTTGATTGGTGAAAAAACCTTTTTTTTTTTTAAATGTTCAACAGTGTGTTGTCACGTGGCATAATATAAAAAATAATGCAAAAAATGATGGATATGTATAATGATTGTAATTTTATTACTTCCAAGAAAATATTCCTAGCAGATCCCATATAAAGTACATAAAAGTTGGTTTCTGAAGTTTTAAGCTCGACGACTTAACAACACAAAGGAATTATAGAATATGCCCCCCTCCACCTCTCTGAAGAGGTAAATCAGGAGCCAACTTGGGTCATTTTGCCATCTGACTTTCATCATTCAAGCGGTCGAGTTCTTTCTCCCACTTTAGTCCACACATCTGACGGCCAAAGGGAACAATGAGGTTGTAACGGAACACCTACAAGAAATGCAATGCGTAGTCCAAGTTAATGAAGTACATAAAACTTTTGAGCAATTAAGCTGTGGATACGTAAAAGAGGAGAAAGTTTATGCAGCACGAAGGCCATGCTCTCAAATTCATTTCATAACTGCTATCTATATGCTAACACTAACACACTGACACCAAACTAAAATAGGATGATAGGAACATGCTTACAGAAATTATACTGTAACTGTAAATATATGATAAAACACAGTTTCCAACTTCTTCATTTTACAAGACAATTTCGCGTGTCAGATGCATCACACAATTCTTTAACATTTCCTTTATCCTATTATTCGAACGTTTCACCTGGAAAAAGTTCAGAACATATTCATCTAAACCAATGTAAAAGAGGTTATAAAAACTCTCTAATATGAAATGCATCAACTGATTCCACAGTTTAATCGTATCCCATGCGATTCAACCTAGATGTTTCAACAAGTGTCTGCTCCAGTAAAAGTAAAATAAGATTATACCTTATCATTGATGCCCCGCAGCTGGAATTTTAGAGCCTCTGAACACTCAACCCATTTAGCCTCATCTCGACTGCCTTTATGTTTCCAGGCTTTCTTTAGGCCTACACGCCACTCCGCAATATTATTCCTTATCTCCTTATTGAGTTCAACCCACTCCGGAGCACATCCATTTTTGTTGAGTATTCTATACAAAGTGTCTTCAGCTGGGTCAACATGAGGATTACTACTCAGGTCCAAGGGCTTTCCCTTCCCTGGCAAATTCTCGAATTGACCTTCTTCCATGGCATTCCATACACGTCTCTCAACAACATTTACAATGTCAGTTTCAGTCCTAACACCCAAGTTAAGATCACAATCCAACACATTAGGCTACAAACAAAAATTTAGATTGCATTCCAAGTTGTTCCTGGTCATTGAAGCCAAGCTACTTTTTTAATCTTACAAGGGACACTCCAACTTCTGGTAATTTTTAGCCCAAAACATGAAAAGCAAATCGAAAGGCCAATAGATTATTTCTGAAGAACACAAATATCTAGAACAGCTAGTCTAAGTAACAGGAAGACGATTAACATTTAGCAATAAATACAAATCTTCAGGTGCATTCAAATGGGGATTCCTTGCTTAATTTGAATGTGCATAGATAAAAGATACAGAACCTTGGCATCCATCAAAGTCTTGATCGATAAAAGATAAAGCTACAATTTAGCAATTATGTTAATTGGATACAGAACAATGTTATATTTCCTCAGTCATTGATTGCAAAGTGATTTAGATGTAAAGGATTTTGACACTCTTGAGCTGCATTTGTCCCCTAGAATCAGCAACTTAACTGAAATTTCGAGAAAAAAACTGTTCAGTTTAGAATACGATCGTTTCTAATTCCAATGAAGAGCCCCATATTCCATACAATTCCAAGATGTGAAACATGATTCAAAAATTAAACCTCTTTATACAAGTAAATATTCTTTTACAGTTCACAATCACAAAAATAATTCCAACATCCCAAAAAATAACAAAAAGGAAAAGAAGAAAAAGTCGCTTATTGCTTATAGTAATTACTATCTGCGAAAATTCACCTGACGTTATTGCGTTGGCCACGGAGTTCGGGAGGGAGTTTACTGTCATTGACGGCGTCAATAACGGCGGACAGACGGTCTGTCGTCACTTTTTTGGGCTTCGACGAAGAAGGAGATAATGGTGAAGAAGCCCATCTGGACAAGCCATGGCGAAAGATGGAGATGAATTCAGTTGCAGTTGATTTCTGAATGAACGGTGCAGATGAAGAAAGGATCGCTTTCCTTCACGCGAAGAAAGCAGCCATGGCTATGGAAGTTGGGCCGTTTGACCCATTCAAGTTAAAAGGGGCTGCTGGATTATGGCGGTGCTGTTTTAGAAGACTGACTTTTATGACGTAAGTGAAATGGAAATTTAGGAAAATAGCACCAAACTGGTTTCACTTATTTTTAGATTTAATTATTTTATTAAACGTTAACTGTGTATTCTCTCTTTATTTATGTAACTCTAATTTTCTCCATAATCAAGCTCATCACATTTTACATTGATTTATATACACACATTCACGAGAGAGTACATACTTTACGACGTTTGTATATATATTAGAGTTCGGGTTTTGGAACGACTGTGATGGCTGGTGGGGGGATTTTATTGCTAGTTGTCGTGTTGGTGGGGTCGGCAGCGAGTGGCATCAGAGGAGTTCAAAGAGTAATGAATTTGCAGAGGGCGTTCCCGCTAAACCAGATAGTGGAACTGGAGGCGCTAAAGGCTCGAGACCGACTGAGACATGCTCGAATGTTACAGAGCTTCGCCGGAGGCATCGCCAATTTTCCGGTGTTCGGAAACTCCGATCCTTCTAATGCTGGGTAAATCATATACTACCAGACTCTGAAAATTCCCGCATTTTAAATTAATTTTTTATACTTGAAAAAGCCAGAAAATTATGTTCACTGCCTGAAGTTGTTTTTGTTATTTCCTATGAAGATATTTTGATATCCAAATGTTGCTTAATTTGGATTTTGTTCTTCCTGATTTTTAGATGTCTTTTGTCATGGGGTTTCTAGAAATTTTGAATAATGATAACTAGCACAGGTGGTATTGAACACTAGTTTAGGCTTTGTATTTAATTAAACATTTAATTTAATGCCACTAGTGTTGCTACATGGTGTTAAAACACAGTGGTGCTAAATAGCATTACTTAGAATTTTTAGTCTATTATACAATTTATGGGTCTTAGTATATTGAAATTTTTCCATTACTCAAAAAAAGTATGTCTGGTTGATACTGATTGGCATCTTCTTAAATAGGCATAACTATTGTTGATTCTATTTCAACTTGGACTTTCTCTCTTGTTTTGATTTCAATTTACTGTTTTTTAATATGTAACATTATAGTAATTGGTCGTTGACTGATATTTTCCATTTTGATTTGCTTGCAGACTTTATTATACCAAAGTTAAATTGGGATCTCCACCAAGAGAATTCAATGTGCAAATTGATACTGGGAGTGATATTTTGTGGGTTACATGCAGTTCCTGTAATGATTGCCCCAAGACAAGTGGCCTTGGAGTAAAATCTCTGCTCCTTTTTTGCCCCTTTGTTATTGCTTGAGTTCGATAGTTCTTGAATTGCTTGTACTGATATTAGGATGCGTATGCAGATTGAGCTCACTGTCTTTGATGCTGCTAGCTCATCAACCGCTTCCCCTATTTCCTGCTCTGACAATCAATGTGCTGCTATAGTTCAAACTGCAAATGCTGAATGCTCTACACAAAGTAACCAGTGTAGTTACTCGTTCCAATATGAAGATGGAAGTGGTACTTCTGGATTTTATCTGTCAGATCTGCTTTATTTTGACACAATTTTGGGTACCTCATTGATTGCCAATTCTTCAGCTCCTATTGTTTTTGGGTGAGAATTTTTCTATGACTTCCTATATGATTGTGCTTTCTAGTTGTATGAGCATGTGCAATTTGGTATGAATTAATTATGTCGAGGAATAAGAGATGGACTTAATAGTGATAGGATTTCTACGTGACAGTGGAGTGTTTCCCCTGAAAAAGGACAAAAAAACTACCACTAGATGATTAGATCTAAATAATACAGTGACACTGTGGTCATTACTGTGAACTGAATTAACATGATATTATGATTCTACAAGTAGAAGTGTTTCACATTAGCAATTCCACAGACAACTTAATAGTTGAATGAAATTATTACCTACGAAGTCTGTTGCAAGGGCATAAAGAAAAGCAAGGAAGTTTCAGTTTATATCTGGAGTTTTCTGGGCAACCAGTAAGAAGAATTAATTGTCAGACGTGAGATTTTGGGCATGATGTATGTAAAGTATTGCATCTTCTTCAGTCTCTCAATTTTCCTTTCTCGTGGTTCCATTGCAGAAGCTTTATAGCATAGAAATGTTTGATTAGGCTGGTTGAAGCATTCATTTGTGAAAACAGGTGCAGCACCTCTCAGTCTGGGGACTTGATTGCATCAGATAAAGCAATTGATGGAATCTTTGGTTTTGGCCAGCAGCATCTTTCAGTAATATCCCAATTATCATCGCGTGGAATCACTCCTAAAGTGTTTTCCCATTGCTTGAAAGGAGAGGGCGAGGGTGGAGGCATCCTAGTTCTTGGTGAAATTTTGGATGCAAGCATCGTTTATAGTCCTCTTGTTCCTTCACAGTACGTATTTTTCGGAGTGTGGAATTCTTAATTAATACCTGCAAATATAGAGTATCACAGCATGATTTTCTTTTCACCTTTAACATTTTTCTCTCTAAATGATAATGGTTCTTGCAGCTCCAAAGTTTTATTTATCTATTGCATAATTCAGGTGAGGTCGCTGTCATCTTTTAGGAAATATTGATCTCATGTACTTCATGGAAAGTGCTGATGTGGGAATTTTTGTTTAACCTTCATCAGAGAGTATGGCTGTATTACGTATCACTAAACTTTCTGTTCAATTCTAGTCATGATAAACATTTATGAATATTAGCAGTTACGTCAGATCTGTCAAGTAAACAAAGATTGAAATGATTTTCCCACTTGCTATTGTTTTCATTGACCTACTCAGAATGGTGAATTTTCATTTTTTAAATTCTTTTCTCTGGTATTTCAGGCCTCATTATAATTTATATCTGCAGAGCATTGCTGTCAATGGGCAACTGTTGCCTATTGATTTAGCAGTGTTTGCAACATCAGGCAACCGAGGAACAGTTGTTGATTCTGGAACAACTTTGGCATACCTCGCGGAAGAAGCTTATGATCCTTTTGTTGCTGCTGTAAGTTTTTCATTTTTGTCCCCACTTTTTCTGGATTTATGGAAGTCAAAAGGCATGAGGAAACTTGTTGATCAACCTAGGCACCTTGTGCAATGATACAAGTTATACTTATCTCTTGCCTGAGCATAAGAGATAGTGGATTGAAATTAACTAATGAACTGGATTTCTGGAACCAGAATACCACAAACTTTCATTACATAATTACTCTGGCAGTCACCACACGCCAAAGAAATTTAGTTGTTCCTTTAGGGCTAAGTTGGAGGTGATACAATCACTAAACTCGTCCTATTTTTGGATCTCTTTGAACAAATAATTGAATCTAATGGAAGTTTCTTGCATATCTGGGGACAGATGATCTTGTTGCAGATGGTTTCATTGCACTCAAAGCAACCCCCTTTCTAAATGAATATAAAGTTTGTTGCGTATTTACCTGAGGCCTCTTTACTTACTAACTCTGCAGATAACAGCTGCTGTTTCTCAATCGGTCAGGCCATTCATTTCTAAAGGAAACGAGTGCTATCTAGTTACTACCAGGTTCATTTCATTAACCACTGTATAAATATTTAGGCGACCTTCTTTTCAGTGAAAGTATTATTGGACTTGATTCTTTGGGCACTTGAACAAGATTCCCCTCTGTTTCTACACAGCATAGCTGAGGTATTTCCTCCTGTTGCTTTAAATTTTGCTGGTGGTGCATCCATGGTTTTAAGACCAGCAGACTACCTTGTAAATATGGGATTTGGTGTGAGTATTACACTTGTCTCTACTTCTTAATTTATTATTTCCTGTATACTACTAAGTGAGAGATGGTTATTTCCATTCTTGAAACTTGAGTTTGAATCATACAGTCCACGTCATCTGTTTTTAGTTCTCCGATCTCAAGTAGATCTGTGGTTTATAATTATTTGCAGGATGGTGCTGCAATCTGGTGCATTGGTTTTGTCAAAGTTCAGAATCAGGGCACTACAATTTTAGGAGGTTAGTTGCTGAACTAAGGTACTTATCTTGAAGGACAATAATCTGCTAGAATTATGTTTTAGAGTATCGATCATATTTTGTAAGTCCCTATGTTTCCATTACTTAAGTGTCTTGGCATTCCATTCATAATGTATCCGAGTAAAATGAAGAATCCAAACGCCATATACCATTTCCATAACATTTAAGCAATTCAAACAAACCAGCTCAAAAATGATCAGGATTGGCCAAAAATCCATCTGTCAACTTTTTCCCTAAAAAAAATTGGGAGTAAACAATTTTTTAAGCCAAAGGCATAATGTTATCATAACACAAGCTCACTTTATACACCCGCACATTCAGCCATGTAATGGAATAGTGAAAGCAGAAGATCATGGTCAGGTGTCTGCCAATGCTCTCATATTGTTGCTGAAATTTGGGAAGGAAACGCTTCAAATGGTGGTAGTTGATCTTATATCGGGCAACACTTCATTTATTTTCACCCGTGGGGCTTACTCATATTGATATGTCCTTATGGGGCAAGAATATAATTGATAATGTTGGCAGTTTGGTTTCATGTGCAAATGGTTTTGCGAGAGAGTCTAGTCACCATGTGTTTTTAAGCATGTTTTTGAGCATTTGAGTTGGAGAGATTCCAAAACTCATTTGTACTTTCTTGTCTTCAGATCTTGTTCTCAAAGATAAAATCTTCATATATGATTTGGTTCATCAAAGAATAGGATGGGCTGATTACGACTGTAAGTTCGTCCTATCCCATTTAACTTGTTTCATCATTATTAAGAATGTTGTTAAACAAGGTTGAAGTCTCCTTAGCTTACTGTCCATCACAAACTCTGATTCAACTCTTCAATTTATTATGTCCATTATTCAGGTTCACTGGATGTGAATGTCTCCCTAACTTTAGGTAAGGATGAATTTGTCAATGCTGGACAGCTGCACGTGAGCAGATCATCAAGCTGTGTGCTCTTCAAGCTAAGACCTAAGAGCAATATTTCATTGCTACTGCATATATCGATGGTGGTCAGCTTTTTCTTTTTGTAAATTATTTTTCCAGCGCATCCCCATTCTTTCCACTAGTGTATCCCCATTATTCAAATATAGTCTTACTCTCGTCCCATAGAATATATATTTTTGATGTTATATTTATCTTGCTTTTTATCTAAAAAAAGTTCTTCTCTCCTCTTTTTGGATACCATGGACGCTCGAGCCATAATGGTGCTGAGTAGAAGCAGAACCATTGCGTTCACAGTCTTGCTTCTTAGAGGGTGAAAATTGTAGAAATGAAATGAAATTTTCGGAGCTTGTCTTGCATAATAGTCTTGCTTCTAGGCTTCTAGCTAATATTATTCCTTTGCCAATTGTATATGGGACAAGATTTGATACTAATATTCTTGTTTGCAAATTATTGTTAAGCCTTGTTTGGATTTGGAATATTCGACAGTTTGTTTTCCCTTTATTTCCTTTTTAAGATTTTTTTAAAAAAGACAATTATCTTTCACGTTTTATTAGAAGGAAAAGAAACATCATCTTATCATAGTTGTTAGAAAGTAAATCTAGAGGTCGATAGTTTTGCATTTTCCTGGTTTCTTGTTAGATATTGGGGGTTTAGATTTTACTTAAAATATTCCAATCTTTCCCATTTGTTTTAGTAACGGAGAAATTATGGCTGACCTTTTCAACCTTTTACGTGGTGATTATGGATTCTTAATTTTCAAAAGTGAGGTTCTAGATCATCTACATATTTAAATATGTGAATTTGAATCCACGTGATGGAAACTTTCAATGCAGGCATTACAATTGCATTCTGATTATAGAAAGAAATATTAAGGGGTTTGATGGCTTTCATCCTATAGCTTTGAGTCTGTGTGAAAGTCACATGCTACATTCACTAGTACATTGGTAGTTCCAATCGTGTGGGAACTCAATTCATGTTGGCGTGAAACCTGACTTTCGAATGTTGAGAATCGTAACTACATCACGTGAAATATTGAGAAGTTCACCCTTAATTTTTGTTGGCGGTCCCTCTCTGTGGCTGAGTAGTAATCGGATCTTATCATTTGTTCTGAAGCAGTCTTGCTCATTTCTCCCTCTATGCTAGCTTTTTCCATTGCGCGTGCATTTCATAAGTGCTTTATTGGAGTGCACCCTGTAGGTACCGGTCACACACTCATACCCCCCACATCTTTAGAAATCTCCATTTATGTTGATTTAAAAACATTAATGGTGCTACTAATTTTTTGCCAAATTGTAAAATTTTCTAAAATGCTCGTTAGGATAAAAAATTACACACACTAATCTCAATTTAAAGTGGATTATTAAATTTACAATTTTGTTTCAGTGATTAAGTTATCGATATAGTTGTTGTTGATGATGTCCAGATCAAGTATTTATATTGTGCTCGATTAAATGACATATTAATATTAATAATTATACATGCACTCAAAATAAGAGACAAACAACACAATATTGTCCAAATATAAATTTTATTTATATAATTAAAGGTTGGATGCCACCAATTAATACATGTGAATTCATTATAAATTTTTCCAAAAAAAATAATTTCAATTTCCTCATTAAATAAAACAAGATTCATTGATTATTTAGTGTGTTTATCCTCATAACATATTTGGCAAGAAATAATAAATGATATATTTATTATACACATTAATTCAGTCCAACTACTTACCAAATTATAAATAATGTAATTCATCTAAACATGTTCCTAAAATCATACCAATTTCTCAAATGGGCCAAACATAAAAAAATTGGGTATTTTATAAGTGTGTCCACCATGTCCTTAACCTTTCATTTGTAGTACCCATTTCCCTAACCTTTTATCACTGAGCTTTCAGTATTTTCATTTGACTGGAAAACATCTATTTATACGTCAAAGAGTCATGCAACATGCACGTGGTGTCAACTGAAAGGATAAAATTAAATTGTTATCGTTTTTGCTTTTTGAATAATTGAAATCTATTTTGGACAATTTCAACATTTCAGTGAGACATCGCTGTATCGTGTGACCGAATTATGAGTTCAATACATCATGTTTAGCAGAAAGACGAGTATTACCATTTATCATTTGATTAGTTTTTGTGCCCGTTGTTGAAAGGTCTAAAATATGGAGTCTTTTATTCGGAACATATTGCCGCACTAATGAAAATTTGAGGACCCCTTGAGAAATTTATCCAAAAATAAAATCTGTCCGTTACATTTGCCAACATTGGCCGAAAGTCCATACGACGCGCCTCTTAGCGAGCGTCGCCATGATATTACACAGTATTAGCGAAACGCCATAAAACTCCCGCGTTCATGCAAATCCGCCCGGTATTCACCACCCTCCTACTCACTCACATTTCCATCCCATTATAACCTTTTCTTTTTCAATAATTCCTCTTATTTACCCTCATTCTCTTCTAATTGTAACGCCTTCTCTGTAAGGAAAAATATTTCCCCTCTCTTATCTTTCCATTTCTATATTCGCTTTTTACTCCAATTCAACACCACTAAATCTCCGTTATATAGAGATTATTGTATAAATATTGTTTTGAGGAGAAATGGCGGTTTCAACAACGGTAACCGCGCCTCCGGCGTCACTGTACGTGGGGGACCTGCACCAGGACGTGACGGATGCACATCTTTTCGATGCCTTCTCGGAGTTTAAGAGCCTTGCGTCCGTACGAGTTTGCCGTGATTCCATCACCGGCCGCTCTCTCGGTTATGGCTACGTCAACTTCAACTCTCCACAAGACGGTACTGTTTTATCTACTCGAATTCAATCTAACACTCGTGGATATATGAAATGTATCTCTCTGTGTGTGTATGTCAGCGTGATTTTGTTCCGGATCGGAATGCTATTTGTTCTGATCAGTTTTTGTGATTGATTTGCTCGATTATAGTTGATTTTGTTCTAAACTCCAACAGAATTTGAATCATTGATTTTAATCACTCTTCCAGAGAAAAAAAAACAAAAGATGGGTTCTGATCGAGGAATAAATAATTCCATACGTTTATGCACAATGATCATGTATGTTATTTCAGGTGTGCATGCATGTATAAGATTTTGGAACTCTCTTCATAATTTATGGTCAAATTAATCTGATTTTATTGTTCATCTAAACCAAAAAGAAAGGGGGAGAGAGAGAGAGAGAGAGAGAGAGAGAGAGTTGCTCTGATTTGTTGATTTTTGTTTTAAAAGATGAGACTTAACACTCAAAACATCTGCAAGTGTACCATTGCTTGTGCAAAATCTTTTGTCTACATCCACTGTGTGTATAAGTGATTTTGCAGGTTTGATTACTGTTAATTGATCTTATTTGCTTTTAGTCAAAGCTGAAAATTTAGAATACATTTGTAAGAAAATTATGTTTCAGATTATTTATTTTTTTGACTGTTATGTCAGTTATATTTTGTCATTTCGATTAGATTCCAGATTGGCTGGCTTCCGTTATTGATTTTGTGCTGGATCCCATAATTTTTAGAGATTTTTAAGGCATGTAAAGTTATGAGACCATGGATTTGATTCTTGTGTGTGGGTACTATTTTTTAAATTTTTTATTTAATTTTATTTATTATTATTATTATTTTTTTGAGTAGCTTCTGAGGCTATAGAGGTGAAAAATCATTTTACCTTGAATTCGAAAGCAATTAGGGTTATGTGGTCACACCGCGATCCAGATGCAAGAAGAAGCGGAATTGGAAATGTGTTCGTCAAGGTAAATCTGCTTTTCAATTGAACAAATGTTGTTTCTCAATGACATGTTTTTATTTCATTTCATGGTTACTTAATTAAGCTACTAAACTGGTTTTATCCTTTTACTGCAGAATTTGAGTGATTCGATTGACAGTGGGAAGCTTCAAGAAATGTTCCAAAAGTTTGGTAATGTATTGTCTTGTAAAGTTGTCACCTCTGATGATGGGATGAGCAAAGGATATGGATTTGTCCAGTTTGAGTCTGAAATTTCTGCAAATGCTGCCATTGAGAAGCTTAATGACTCTACCGTTGGAGGCAAGAAGATGTATGTGTTATTTTCCTCCCTTATTACCCATCCCCGTGTACACAGGGAAATATCTGATGGTTCCTACTATGTAGTGTATTGACATTTTATTTTGCATAGGTATGTTGGCAAGTTTGTGAAAAAGAGTGATCGGTCTGTACCCAGTCCTGAAGCTAAGTATACAAATCTGTACGTGAAGAATTTGGATCCAGGTGTCACTGAGGAAGTCCTTAAGGAGAAGTTCTCTGAATATGGGAAGATTATCAGCTTGATCATCTCAAAAGATGAGAATGGGGAATCAAGAAGCTTTGGATTTGTCAACTTTGAGAATCCAGATGATGCCAGACATGCAGTGGAAGCTATGCATGGATCAAAACTTGGTATAGTCATAAAATTCTGTGGAGATTATCATATGATCATGTTTTGACATTTGACAAATTAGATGTTTGAAACTTTTTTCTCATCATTTTATATGTTTTTTAGTAGGCTCACAGGTTATATATGTGGCCCGGGCCCAAAAGAAAGCAGAGCGTGAACGGATGTTACGTTACCAGTTTGAGGAGAAAAGGAAGGAGCAAATCTTGAAATACCAGGTACTAGAAATTGTTTCTTTCACAGAGGCTCTAGATGTGTTTATATGCACATGTATACACATTTATACATATAGTTATCTCAGTTTTGATTATATTTTAACGTGGCGATTTCAGACTTCAAATGTTTATGTGAAGAATATTGGTGATGATATCACTGATGATCAGCTGCGGGAACACTTTAGTCAGTGTGGCACAATTACTTCTGCAAAGCTTATGCGAGATGATAAAGGAAAGAGCAAGGGGTTTGGATTTGTTTGCTTCTCCACACCCGGAGAAGCTATCAAAGCAGTGAACACTTTTCATGGTGAGTCAACATGTTTACTGACAAGTTTTTCTCATTACTGAAGCATTATGGAACTAACATTTTTTTGATCTCACTTTCATTCCTTATTTGCGTGGCTAGAAGTCGATGTTTAATATTTCAACTATTTATAAGGACTCTGAAGCATCTATCGATGTATGTTTTACAGGATTCATGTTTCATCAGAAGCCATTGTATGTGGCAATTGCTCAGAGGAAAGAGGAAAGACAAGCCCAGTTGCTGCTAAAATTTTCCCAGTTTATGGCAGGATTAGGCGGACAGTCAGCTGTTATTCCTGGTGGATATTCTTCTCTTTACTATCCAGTTCCTGGTGTCAATACGCAAGTTGCAGCTCAGCCTAGTATGATGTATCAACCTTTGGGAATGAGGGGTGCTGATGGATATGCAAATTCTTCTATAGTTGCTTTTAAGGCATCTCCGTTTTGCCTGGTCAGTTTTATAGAGCCTGCTTTATCAATCTGACTTATAGGGATATGTTCTTCAATTCCTTTTTCTTTTCACAGGTTCCTAATAATCCAAGACAACATAGACAAAACAGAGCAAGGACAAATGGTGATAAGCTTCTACAGGTTGGTGGTCATATTTTATCACTTGTGCTTTCACAAATTGTTGAGGCCACGACTATAGATTGGAAAAACTATATTTTGAAATTAGGAATGTAAGCTCTGATTTACTTTACACGTCTGTCTCAAATTGTGATCTAGTCTCTGAGCATCAAATGTAGAACCTCGAAGTTGAAACTCCCTTCATATAACTCATTTTTCCCTTGCATCATGCTCACATTATATATAAATATATGTTTTGCTAAAAGGTGACATGCTTATCTTACATTTTATTTGAGAGACGGAGAACAATATCTGAACATATCTGAACTTCAACCAGGACCAATACATGGGAGACAGATGTCAAGTAAAGCTTATATTAGCTGTGTAAATGCATGTCATCTGATTAAATAAAACTTATACACACACGAGTAATGCTATTTGTACATTATTGTATCCATAATGGTGTACAGATAGGGAAGACACACAATTCACAATCTACTAATTCTATACTGCTGCGATTTATCATAAGATAAGAAGAAACCTGCTGTGCTTTGCAGCGTGCCAGGCATGTCAAGTACGTACCAAATAGGCATTCACGTGAGATGAACGAGGGATCTGATGCTGTAACTGGCTCTGAGGGGCCAGAGACTTTAAGCAGCATGCTTGCTGCAGCTCCTCTAGATCAGCAGAAACAGATACTTGGGGAGCATCTTTATCCCCTCGTCAGTCAACAGAAGGTGATTCTCTTTATCCACCTTTTATTTTTTATTTTTCTCTCATTTCATGCTTATTTGGGTATAAACAGTTTTTATTTTTTTATGTTTATTTTTATTCATTTTGTTTTTTATTTAATGCTTCTCGAATATAGAAATATAGGGGGTTCTAACCAGTTACATGGCAACTCTGTTTCCAACTCAGAATTTTTTAAGTTTTTGTCGTCATTTTTTCTATTGACACGTGTTTAAATATGCTTTAGCAATGCTAACAGGATTTTATGCTAATTTGTATTACTTGCAGCCTGATCTTGCTGCAAAGATAACGGGAATGCTGTTGGAGATGGACAATTCAGAATTACTTCTATTATTGGAGTCACCAGATTCACTAGTGACAAAGGTGGAAGAAGCTGTTCAGATTCTCAAGCTTTCTAAGGACAAAGTGTCAAATCAAGATGGAATCCATCCAAATTTCCTTCCTGATGAAGTCGCAGTAAGCTGAGGAAAATGATACACTACAATCTAGGGTTATGTCAGTGACTAATCTTTTTTAATTTTTATATATTCATTTTTATTTCCTAAACTTGTTGATGTGCCCTTACTGGAGAGGGGTGCGACCTTGGTACTACAGAAGTTTTAGAACTCATATCTGATATTTAGAAGTTTTAAACTATCAATTTATCGTGATTTCCGAAGGTCATATTGTTTTTCTTATTACATATTTTTCTGTTATTATCTATTGGTCTTTGGTTGAAACTGATCTAGCACCAAAGGATCTTTTCATATACACTGTCTCAACTGGCTATAACTAGGCCATGGATTTAGCCTGTTGCCAGATCAAAATGCATCAATTGGCTGAGTTTTATGTCCTTCTGTACTTGTAAGCTTGTGTTTGTGTAGTTCAATTTTTACCTGTTAAAATATCAAATTTTATCCCACTTTCCCAGTCCCATCTGTGTTTCAAAATTTCAAAATGTGTTAATATGTTCAATTTTTTGTCATGTCGTGTTCGTGTCGGTCCGTTTTGTTTTCGTGCAACCTAGGTGTCCATTTTACTTTCATTTATGAGAAAAAATTAATTAAAACGACTCAGGTGGGCAGGTCTGGCCTGTTTGGCCATTTACGAGTTTTAACTTTCACACCTGTGAATGGCACAGTTATCTAAAAGGGTTTTAGACTGAGTTTTTACCACAAAGCTGTACAAGAGCCATGGCACTTGTGTCACTAGCAGCCAGCTGTTTCATTTCAAGAGAAAATGCCAAATTGATATGAAAACTACCAGGCAACAAGAATGTTATAGGAATAATGCTTAGTTTGAGTACATAATCAGGCACTGGAACATGATTTTCTTGCAAGTATGTTCTCCTGCAGCTCTTTTTCATCCAACTTGTTCTTCATTTTCTCACTCCCTTCTACCCATCTTTTCAACTTCGCAATTAGCTTTCGCCTTTTCGACTGAGCATGGCTGCCTCTCGTGAAGCCTAAACATGAGTCACCATGGCCTAATCTTGAACTGCTTGTGAGTTCATGATCTGATCTATACTCTGCAATCTCGTCCACATGATGGTCATTTTCTTCCATGACTTCGTCTTGTTTAGTATTTCTCCTCGTTAGCTCGTGCCTTAAGCATGCATTGCACCACCTCAGATATATCAATTCTTTAGTTTCAGCTGCCCTGTCCTTGTGAAGTTGTTCTACTTCATTTGCTAATTGATTGTAATTCTCTAGGGTCGTCTCTTGCCCTTCAATCTTGCACCAAATGATTTAACCTCGTTAGTCATGTAAAGACGAGTCATGTAAAGACGATTATGCTTAGAAGTATTAAATAGAAATTGTTGCTTTTCCAATAGCTATCTAACAATTAGAGTTGTCTTCTACCTAGTGCAATTAATTTTGTTTTCACTTCTTCTTTTCTTGTCCCTTCGGACACTGCACTAGACAATTGGATTTGGATTGACGATCCAATTGTCAAAGTGTAAAAAGTATTATCCATTTCTGTGTTCTTGTGTGTGTGAGTGCGCGCTGTAAAGGAAAGGTAAAAGATGTTTTAACCTTTGAAGCAGCTGATTTTTCTGCCAACTTGCTTAAAAGATCAATTCTCTCTCCTTGCAACCGCTCTGAAGCTATTTTCAGCTCCCTGATTTCATCAGCCATATTCTTGATCCAAATATCCTTCATTTCTAGCTCTTTTCGAGATCTCAAAATCTCTGTTTCTTTGCCTACAATTTGCAAGTTTTGCTTTTTCAGGACATGGTATTGTTCTTTATTTCTTCTCAAAATTTTCTTTGCCCTCTTATGAAGCAAAGCATTTTCTGATCTCAAAAATTCAAGCAGCCCCATAATCTTCAAGCATTCAATCACCATATGTTCAAATCTCTGAATTTCTGCCTCCATTAATGAAGTCTCCCTCGTGAAAAATTCGACTCTCATTATTTCCAATAGTAATTTGTTTTGAAGCTCCATTTGCACCATTTCTTCCTCTTTCATGTTTTGATAATGAAGAAACCGCATATTTAAATCTTGCATTTGGCTTCTTAACCAGGAGATTTCTTCTTGCGTATGCAGAAACTCTATTGAATTTTCATAACAGGCTTCTGTAAAGGCATGATCAGACTCTACACAAGGGAGAGATGCTGAATCAAGGCTGTGAAAACTCTGTTCATCATCTCTGGACATTTCTTTAGAGTCATTCTGTACAAAATTTTCTTGGATTTCTGATAATGATGGAGCTTTCGAAACAAGATATTTTCTGCCTGCAATTTTTGCAAAAACGATACCAATTACAGTAATAGCAACTGGAATTCCAGCTTTCACAAGAACTGGTTTCATAGCCTCCACCTTGCTGGTCGAGCTCTCCATGTTTTTCAACAAAATTAAGGATCCAGTAGCTTTAGATCTTCTGATACAACTGAACCGAGTGGACAAAAGGGATTTATGTAGCCGACCTTAAATCTATTGAGAACAAGGCTTGGTTTATAACATTGGTGCTAATATGAATTGAGTTTCGAGTTTTGTGTAGTTTTTTGGTTTGATGGTACACCATGATGAGGCCCATGAGGGGATTTATTTACATAACAAAGCTTTTCTTAGATTCTTTAATTTGCGTTTGCTTTAAGCTTTCTTTTGATTAGAGAAATTGAGTATTTTGCTTCAATAATGAACGAAGGCATGCATTTGATCTTTTTTCCTTCCTCCTGCCCTTTGGAATCTGATTGAGTGAATAAGTTTTTATTTGGCATTGGAGGACTATATGCTTTACCCCTGGTTTGATGTTGATTACTTGAGAATCACTCCTCTCACCCACTAGTTTTCAACCATACATTCTAAAAAAATAAAATACTTTCACAATTTCTTGTAATTTTTCTCTACTTTGAAGCCACACATTCAAAGAATTACTTCTCAAAAAATCTTTTTATCAGACAAGCGCTTATATCTTAGTTGACCATGCTTCGATATTAGAAGTAAATACTCTAGTCTAGTATTCAAGTCGAAAATCCTTGGGCACTAAATTTTAGTGCATTGTGCTCGATACAGTATTGAGTGTCGAACAAGAAAAAATATTTTAATAGAATATAGATCTAAATGCGACTTTAGCAATTATTGGTGTCGAGTAATCAAATGAATGGAATGACCAGTATGGAACACAAGCCGTTGTTTGATCCCCAGGGGCGGACGCATACATTAAAAGTTAGGGGGGCACAATCAAACTTGTAAAGAAGTTGGGAGAAATTTTACAATCGAAAATTTACGTCCAAACAAATCATACCCCATGTAATTTTACATCCGAAAATTTACATGGGATATGACTTTTTCGAATGTAAAATTTCAAAAAAATTTGATGTCATATTCTATATAAATTTCCTAATAGAATGATGAAAATTACATTGA